CTGCTCCATCTGAAAGCATGTGATGATGATTTCCTGCTGATTACAGAACCAGCATTACTATCAAAATGCGCATGACAATCGCATTCGATTAATCGTGCAGCCCTAGTATATGGGAAAGTTTGACAAAAACAGCCTCAATTCATAATTATATTCAAATTATAAGATTTAAAACCTACTGTTCAGGGATAAGCAGTCCGGAAATTAACTGAAAAGATGAAAAATAGAAACTTATCTACCAATAAAACTAATTAATAAAAAAAATTTCTTCAATTCAGTCAATCATGAAGGATAGTTGAGGAATAACTCAACTCTCCTATATTATATATTTATTTTCCAACATACATATTTTAGGTTACAATTCATATGAATATATGTGAAAACATACATTTAAGGTCCTGTAATTTTAATCATATTTATATCTTCAATAGTTCATTTGAAAGGCTCTGCAATGTGAGAAATTTATTTTTCCAAGTACAAATATCTCAATATGAACTATAAAAAAAAATGCATGAATACAAAAGAAAATAGAAAAAACGTTGTTTTAAGTATTTGTAGATTAGTTCTATAGCATGTAAAAATGTCATGTTATTTAGATTTATTCCAGTGGGAGATGGCTTTAAATTTAAAAGGACTTAGAAAACACAAGCCATGAAGAAATGTATGATAAAAAAGGAAAATGTATGCATTTATTTTAAAAAGCATTGAAAAAGAACCTGCTCTGAACAGGCCAATTACCAAAGAGCCAAAAGCAAAAATCTCACAGACATTATTACTGTCACTGAGCTGAAATCCTCGTCTGACCTGTTGCGTTGCACACGCTTTCATCAGAAACACACAAACCATGAGCCCAACAACCACAGGAATGATGAAAACGTGGATCTTTGCATGATTTTGCATAAGAAATCCATTATTGTGCACAGCAATAATAAAGATATGTCGTTCAATTTACTAAAGCAATCTGTATGGACTGAATTTGAATGTTCTAGCAATGGAAATATTCTTTAAAGCACATTTTGAAACACAGATGCTATTTTGAAGTAGAGTAATACAAATTTAAAATTAATATTACAGATCTAAAGAGGGATATAAGGGCTTTTCTGCACACAATGAAGCTGCCAACTATGATACAACAATAAAATGGCTAACTAAATTAATTTAAACTAAACTAAAATATCTGAAATACACAGAAGAGTTACAAAGATTCTGGCAGCCGTGATGCTTTGCATGATATTTTCTTATGCATAAGTAGATTTTAGTGACAAGTTGCTCAAGGCATTAATATTCAAATGGAATGGAAATACTTTCGTTGCAAATACAGAATTCTTACAACTAGCTATATAAAAATTAATATTAATGATAGTATCAATAATAGCTAGAAAGCAAATAGAGGCAGTGGATTGGTTTTCCCCTTTGCTTGTCACTTCTTGGAAACAGAAGTCATCCAAACCAAGCAGACGTGCATAAAAACTGATTTCATGCTCTCTCTGGACAGCCATCACCATTTTTTATTTGATTATATTTTAATAACTACACTATAGTCTGCATGACGATTATGCATGCATGAATGAAATAATCAATTACTGCATAAAAATTCATCCCAGTTCACGTACAAACCAAGCCCATAGAGTTATGCATAAAAATACCACAGAAAGAAAGTTAGTCAATATCACACGAAGAGTGCCAATATTCACCTCTAAAAAAATTACGTTTTAGACACCATATTGCCTGTAGTGCTCTATTTCGGCAACAAAAATTACTCCAAACACAGCCACAGCGCTGTTTTACGTCTCTGAGAGCTGTAGTTAGGCTGAAACTTGAAAGTTAAGTTGCACGACATAAATGCAGTGTTTAGGTATTATTATTATTATTTTTATTACTATTATTTTGATTTATGCCTTAGTTTTACTTTGTACCTTTTTTAAAGTAATGTGAAATTGATTTTTATATTTCTTGATGTATGCCTTAATTTCAGGTTGTAATGTTTACCTTTTTTAAATTAATGTGTAAATGCATTAAATGGGTTTAGTTTTAACGGTAATTAATGTATGTAATTTCAGCAGTAAAAATATTTATTTTTCTAAAAAGGAAACAAATTAGTTGTTTATTTTAAGAGACCTATCTTATTTTTGTATATCTATCTAGTATTGCTCTTTAATAAAGAAAAATTACTTCTTATCCGATTACTCGATAAATCGATGGAATAATCTGTAGAATACTCGATTACTAAAATAATCGATAGCTACAGCCCTATCACAAAAGCCACAAAGCCTTCCAAGAAGACAGTAAAGGCTTATGTCATGCTTGAGCTGTAGTTAGGCTGAAACTTGAAAGTTAAGTTGCACGACATAAATGCAGTGTTTAGGTATTATTATTATTATTTTTATTACTATTATTTTGATTTATGCCTTAGTTTTACTTTGTACCTTTTTTAAAGTAATGTGAAATTGATTTTTATATTTCTTGATGTATGCCTTAATTTCAGGTTGTAATGTTTACCTTTTTTAAATTAATGTGTAAATGCATTAAATGGGTTTAGTTTTAACGGTAATTAATGTATGTAATTTCAGCAGTAAAAATATTTATTTTTCTAAAAAGGAAACAAATTAGTTGTTTATTTTAAGAGACCTATCTTATTTTCTCTTGTATATCTAGTATTGCTCTTTAATAAAGAAAAATTACTTCTTATCCGATTACTCGATAAATCGATGGAATAATCTGTAGAATACTCGATTACTAAAATAATCGATAGCTACAGCCCTAATTACATAATTTTCTCGCCAATGGATGCTCTGCAGTGAATGGGTGCCGTCAGATGGAGAGTCCAAACAGCTGATAAAAACATCACAATGATCCACAAATAATCCACACCACTCCAGTCCATCAGTTAACATCTGGAGAAGACAAAAGCTGCGTGCAGATTTCTCTCCTGATTCAGATCAGATGACTTTTTCACTGGAGGAAGTGTTATTATGGATTATGGACTCGTATTTTTGTTAAAAACGTCTTGATGGAATTGTTTCTTACAAACACACAGCTTTTAATTTCTCAAGACGTTAATTGATGCACTGGAGTGGTGTGGATTATTGTGATGTTTTTATCAGCTGTTTGGACTCTCATTCTGACGGCACCCATTCACTTCCATTGGTGAGCAAGTGATGGAATGCTACATTTCTCCAAATCTGATGAAGAAACAAACTCATCTACATCTCGGATGGCCTGAGGGTGATTAAATTTGAGTAAAATATTCATTTTTGGGTGAACTACTCACTTTACAAAAATCAATAGCTGTATGCAAAATGCATCGCTTATATTTAATGTAATTAGATATTCCTAAAGTCTCTGTGTTACCATAAATATTCCGCATGCATGCAATAATTGCAGGCAAAATTCAGCTCAAGCGCGTCTTCATAGCTTAAGACAGTTTTCTATCTCTAACTTTCGCTTGCTGTCGTTTATTACATATTAAAAATATGCTTGAAGCTTAACCATAAAGAGCATCCACGCATGAAAGAAAAAGAAATGACCAATCGATGCAAAATGCACGTTTAATTCCTAGTGTTCAGCTCAGCTCAAGTTCAATCAGCATGAGACATGGAGGTTTAAATGGCCTTTGTGTATGTGTGCAGCCTACAGCAGAATGCATCATGGCTACTAAAGCGAAATGAATGAAAAAACCATACGGGAAACGATTAAAATAACACATATACATCACATACGTTGACTTATGTATCAAATACACTACTGTATTCAAGTGCAAATGCTTTAGTGTGCTTATATTTCTCACCAGCAGCGTTTATGCTCCTGATTTGACAAGCATAGCAACACAGCTGCTCTGTAGCATCACAAATAACAATAAAAACTCCTCCAGTCTCCGCGGACTCGACCCGAAAGCGCTATAGAGATAGTATATATCGCGTTACCTCCAGCTCTTGTTCGTTTTTTGCTCTTTTTGTCGCCGTTTTCTTCTCGATTCTATCCGTTTTCTGGATTCCAAAGGCTCGGTTGTGTTACAGCAGCGCTGGGCCGCGTCTCCGCCCACTGCAGCGCGACGTGTGCCGTGATTGGCTGGATCGAACCAAAGCGTAGACTCCCATTGGCTGGCGAGCTCGATTGACAGCTCAACCGGCCTTTCACTTTGTATTTGTGCTTCCTACTATCGCGGAAAGCACGTATTTCACGTAATAATAGTGTCTTCCGGTATGACATACTTGACTGTACGTCTGCGTTTGATGGAATATGAACTATATGCCTTTCATATCCCACATTCTTCCGGTTTTAAACCTGTTTTAAGCACAATACGTTATAAATAGAAGAAAACCCTCCATTTAAACGACGTGGAAATGTGTTCAAAGAACAGAGCATATACACAAAAATAATATCTATCTACCAGTTTAGACCCCCATTTTCCTTTTCTTTCTTTTTAGGATGAAATTTAAATTAGGGGGAAACGTTTGTAGTTTAAAAAAAAAATTTTTTTCAGAAAAGTAAAAAAGTAAAGAAAAAGGTGAAATCGCTTTGCGTCTTTAGATCAACTTTTCTAGATCAATTTTTTTCTATGACTAAAACTTAACTTATACTAAAACAGTCAAGTACTAACTCATCCCAAAAGTTGTCGTTACAGACTATACAAATATCTTGAGTGCGTTATCCGCCTTTTTAACCATTCGTAGCTTGATTGTGCGCGACTCCCGGAATCGTCCACTTGTAGTTATTTTTCTGAACAAAAACAATCCATTATGCTGCATAACATCGCAAATTGGTATTTGTCATTTTAGTTATTAAAGGCACTGGTTTGTATCGCAAACTGTTTTACCATTTACTGCACTTTATTTATGCATCGCGCATGAATCAAGTCTCACATATTCAAAAACAGCATTTTTATTGCAAAATATGATACACAGAGCATTTTTAAAAGAGCGCACACACACATGGGGTTTTATTTTATATAAAAAGTTCAATACAGTTTATTGAAAAATATAGCACTCGTCCCAGTGCAAGAAAATAGCTATGCACCAACCACTACATAAAATGGCTAAATACAAGTGCTAAAAATATACAATTTCAAATCTCAGAATATGCAAATATTAGAAATAGTTGAGGAATAACTAAGGAAAAAAATAAAATAAAAAGGTAATTATCTCCAGCCTTAGGCATTTTATTTAGCAAAAACTACAACAACTCTTACAAGCAAAGAACGTCAACGGGCGAAAAAGACGATACAATTAAATACTTCCTGAATGAGAATCTGTATGGGTTTGTGCGGAAAACGGTTCAAGGATTTACCCTGAAAACCTTCGGAAAGTCAAGGAAGACCAGGAGCGCTTAAAACCGGATCTGGGATCGACTCAAAACATGCACCTGAAATGCAGATCGCGGATCAGTTTTACGCGCATGACCACTGTTTGCATAACGGCAGAAGTTAGTGGAAAAATGACAATCCATTTCTAAAGCACATACAGCAGTTAAACAGCAAAGCAAATAAACGAAACGGAAAAATATCTATTCATTTCAGAGCGTATTAAAATTTAGTTGCTTATCAAAATGGATGAGAAAAAACAGGATAAGTTCAACGAATGTAGAGTTTTTTTACGTAAATTACTAATAGGTTAAAATGAATAATTTTTTAGATTCAATTTCATTAGTTACCAATAACGGCGGTATGATAAAAGATTTAATAAAGCCAAAACGCAAAAACGTTTTTGTGCGCTAGTAAAGCTACGGCACCTTAAACTCACAGATCTTAATAGCATTTGTACGAAGGCTTGTCATTGTCATAAACGACAAAAAACTGCTGGCGAAAAAAAGCTGAGATAACGTCACAAACATCCTCGTAGTGCATAGCTAGTTTATTTAAATTTAGTTAGCGCTAACGATGGTACAGTAAAAACATTACTGCTACAGCACCATAAACTCTTTGACGTTAACATTCGTACGAAGGCTTGTTAATGTAATAAACGACAAAAAACTGCTGGCGAAAAAAAGTTGAGATAACGTCGCAAACATCCTCGTAGTGCATAGCTAGTTTATTTAAATTTAGTTAGCGCTAACGATGGTACAGTAAAAACATTACTGCTAGAGCACCATAAACTCTTTGACGTTAACATTCGTACGAAGGCTTGTTAATGTAATAAATGGAAAAAACCTGTTGGAATATTAGCGTCGCAAACATTGTATATAGTACATAGCTATTTATTTTAAATTTAGTTAGCGCTAACGATGGTACAGTTAAACATTACTGCTACAGCACCTTAAACTCATGGCTGTTAACATTTGTACAAAAGCTTGTTAATGTCAAATGATTAACGTTGCAAACGTCGTATTTAGTACATAGCTATTTTCTTTAAATTTAGTTAACGCTAATGATGGTACAGTAAAAACGCAAACGCGCTGAATCGTTTTAACAGGACTCTAGAGCCAGCGCTTTCACACAAATCATTGCAACGTCAAATTACTGCTTGCAAAAAATTAAGGAACATCGTAAGTGCATAGATAGTTCTTAGTTAACGTTAACAATGGTAAAAACGCTACTGCTACAGCACCTTAAACTCAACCATTCTAAATAGCATTCGTACGAAAGCTTGTTAACATCAAATGGCAAAAAAACCTTTTTGATGTGATATTAACGTTTATTAAATTCAGTTAGCGCTAACGATGGTACAGTAAAAATGTCAATCGCACTTACGAAGCAACGAGATCTTTTTAACGGGATTCTAGAGCCAGCGTTTTCGTACAAATCATTGTAATGACAAATTGCAGCGAAAAATTATTAACGAACATCGTAATTGTGCATAGCTATGGTTCATTGTGCTGGTGTAGGGTACAAGAAGGCAATGATACGTCACTTGAAGCGGCTATAGCTAAAACACGACTAGAATCACTTTGCTCGTAAATACGAAGATCGCAATTCAGAAGAAATAGCTACAACGTACAGAAATCAAGTGGCTAGATAAAGGCAAATCACAAAACAGGGCCAAATCAAGTAGCGGTGTTCAATCAAGGCAGAGGCGTTTCCATCAATCCTACAACCTGATGCATTTGTTAAATATATATAAAAAAAAACAAAAAACAAATCCATGTTTCGTTCGTAAAATTCTGTCGCACCGCGTCGCCGTGCCGACAGCATCAGCGTCAACACCGGCCGCTGCTGTATCCGGGGAAGAGCTGAGTGAGGATGGCTTGGAGAGGTTTGTTCACCGTCATTTGGTAGTTTTTGCCCAGGTCGTGTCGGCAGGCTGGACAGGTGTAGACCTCGGCTTTGAAAGATCGCTGAAGGCATTCCTGCGAAGATAACAAAATTGTGTTTATCTTATTCATAAATGTACAAACTATTGCATGTGTCATGATGAAATGAAACCCTCAAGTGTTGCCATAAACCCTAAAATCAGACGTCATTTTTTTTTTTTTGTAAAATAAATAAGACAAATTAAAGCCAATTTTCACAATTTAATAGAAATATTTCTATTAAACGAAATACTGTACATTGGCAGGAGGGATGAATAAAGTAGATGTCTGCATTCCTGCGGCTCTCCCGCGGTAACCGACCAGATTTTTTGCGCTGCGGGATTAAATTCCCGAATAAAACGCGGTAGCGGTCGGTAACTCTGGTGTAATTTGAACGGGAGCGGGCGGTCTAACAATATCTCAAATGTTAAACGAATTGTATCCTGACAAGACGAATAAAAATAAAAAATAAAATTTTTGTACAACATTTTCTGACACTTTTTTTTCTACTGTGTTGCATAAAATAAACGAATTTTGTGTCTTAATATAATTTATATAAATAAACTCTGGTGTAATTTGAACGGGAGCGGGCGGTCTAACAATATCTCATTCCCGACATCCATTCAGAACAGCATATCTGCGATTTATTCTTATTGACCACCGCATGCTTTAAACGTCACGCGTTTTATTTGCGGGGTCTGTGCGCAGCATGTGCATAACGATGCTCAGAGCAGGCTGTACCGGTGGTAAATATACGGCCCTCAGACAGAACAGGCAGGTTGTCGATGAGTGACAGCAGAATAAGGATGGAGCAAAGTGTGGATGCGCTGTCCTTGAAGCACGTTCAACTCGGTTTTGTTTAGATTTTGCTTAGCCTATAATTTTAAATGAAAGATGTCGTATTTATTTATTTTTCTCTGCGACACTTTTCCTACTGTGTTAACAGAAAAATAACATGCAATTTTGAGCAGACTACACTTTTATTTGTCAGCCTCTCTCTCTTTCTTTCAGTAGCGGAAATTTAAATGTGATATTCTGGAAACGAGATCTAAATTTAGCGGGAACGGTCGGGAAGAAAATTACTAAGTGGACAGCGGGTAAACAAAGAGTTAATATATAGCGGGAGGGTGCGGAATATAACTTGTATGTAAATAAAATAAAATAATGGAAGTATAATTAAAATAAAAACAATTAAATAAAAAAAAATTATGAATAAATATAAAAAAGGATAATTAAAACTTAAAAAATAACTGACGTGTCTATAAAAAATTAAAACAAAACAGATAAATAAAATTAAACAAAATTAGGCATAATTAAAAAATAAATAAATAAATAAATTTTCAAAAAAATAAATGTATGTGTACATTATTTAAAAATGACATAACTAAAATATAATTTTACTAAAGCATAATAAAAAAGAAAAAAAAAAGTATAATCAATAAAACGACTAAAATCAAAGAAAATTTTAATATGAATAAAAAGTAAAATTAAAATAACTAACCGAAATACACATTAATATATAACTGAAAGTTAAATTATTTTTAATATATATATAATATAAATAGCATAATTTTGCTAAAGTAAAATTAAAAAAGTGATTAAAATAAAATGTAAAATATTTTTAAGTATAGTTATTTAAAAAAAACAAAAAAAAAACACTAACAACTAAAATTAAATAATTACAATTAATTATTAACCAAATAAGAATAACTACGGGAAAAAACAGAACATGTATAATTAAAATACTTAAGAATTTCAAGTATTTTACTCGCATTCACGAGAAAATCTAAGAGTTCTATTGTCCACTCTAAAGTCCGTTGTTGCAATATAACAAGTTTGTCTGTGGTTTTGTCTCTTACCCTGCAGACGTTGTGTTGGCATTCTGTGGTGATGGGCTGATAGACGACTTCTTGGCAGCAGATGCACAGGAAAACTTCCTCCACTTTGTTGATGAAGCGCTACAAGTGTGACACAAACACATTAAACCAACAATCATCAGAGCGGCTTAATTACAAGACAGGTGGCGATAACGAAGGCTCTGGTCTGAACGTACAGGTCCGAGGTTGAGAGACTCCATGGCTTCGTCCCACAGCTTCTTGTTGAGCTCGTCGTCCTTGATCAAGGCCTTCTGCTCTTTGCTCAGTTTGTACGCCTCCACTTTCATCTTCTTAGGCGTGCTTTTGGCCGGAGAGCTCTTCTCGTCCACTGCGATGGAGAAAAGCGAAGACATTACAGACAAAAACTGACCTGACTTTTAGGTTCGGTCTTTATTAAATCAGGACGTTTTCACTTACCGGTCTGGGATTTCCTCTTCCTCTTGCCCTTGGTGGGCATTTCTTCAACGTCGTCGTCGTCGTTTTTGTTCTCTTTCTCCTTTTCTTTCGCAGCTACGGCTTCCAGATAACCTTCAGGATACTGAAGCACCAGAGAATGAGGATTCATGAGCGATTCGCAAACGAAATGGGCGAAACTTGAGTGAAATCTGGCAGACGTTACCTGCATGGTGAGCCCCAGTTTCTTAATGCGCTCTTTCCCGTCGCGGGTCCACGGCGCAGGTTCATCGTCGTTACGTTTCAGCAAGTATCTCCAAACGAGGAAGCCGGACTTGCCCTTTTCTGGCCAATACTTCACCACCTAATAAACACGCCGATTAATTACTGCCCACATGCAACTGCATAAAATATGTATAATTCAAATAAAAATGTATCAAAGAAAGTTTTCAATAAAGTATTCATTGAAAAAAATTAGTGCTGTCAAACAATTCATCGCGTTAAAATATTCTTAAATTTATTAATAAATTACAAAAAATGACTATATTAATTATAATTATTACTATTGAATAACAAATGCATATAAAAACTAATAACCTAATAAAAAATAACTAAAAAAAACAACAACAAATACATATTGAAAGTATAATTAAAAACGTGTTAAAATTTCAAGGTCCATCACATGCATTCACTGAGAACATTTATGAATAAATAAGACATATAAAAATGTCTAAAACGGATGTAAATGTTGAAAATGCACGGACAAATCGCTCACCTTGTAAATGCCGTCGTAGCGGTTGCCATCTTCGGGACTGTACTTGCTGTGTTTGCGTCCTTTGGAGCTGCGCACGACTCTCACGGGTTTCCCAGCCTTCCAGTCTTTGGCCTCGGCGCCTTCCTTCTCGTTCACCGTCGCGTTGCAGTTCAGAGCAAGAGCCCTACAAATCACAAACCAACAATAAAAACAAGAGAACTCGTACAACATTTCTTCCACGGTCTGTCCACGTTTGATGCATTTTCATCGTCGCAACATTGATATCTTCCATACTGCATGAAGCGCAATGCAAATAAATGCAACTCCAAATAGCTAACCCAGGAAATGTTTAATAATGCGACGGTTCTCGGACCTGTTCATGTTGGTGAGCTTCTGATCGCAGGACTGCTCGGCCGTTCTCTTGTTTCCCGAGAGGTCGCGACCCCCGGATCCCGTGTAGGTGAACTCGTTACCGTCGTCCTGAATAAAGAGCGAGTCACAGGTGAACGGAGGAAGGGAAAGAGTTCTTGAAGGAGAGGTTTGGATGAGAATCACAAACGTACCACGTCATCTTCGTAGCCCCCGGCGAGAACCAGAGAATAAGCGCCGTCGTTACTCCTGCCGTGAATCCCAGCGACGTGAGGCCTGTGAATGCCGGATTCACTCACCTGTAAATTAAATTAAAACTAAATATTTATTTTTTTTAAATAAAACATACTAATACTACTAACAGAAACTATAATTTAACTTTTTAAAATAGTGTAATTATGTATAAATAATATAACATACTATTTTAGGGTTTCCATGATTCTAGAAGGCTTTAAAAAAAAAACAATTAGTATTTTTATTAGTTTTAATGATTAAACTATTAATGAAAACTATAATTTATTTAAAAAAAAAAGTATATATATAATTTTTTTTTTAATAAAACGAATACTGATACTACTAATACTAAAAATGGAAACTATGAATAAACCAATTCAATTTTATAATTATTCTTAATGAAAGTTTTCATTTATATAACATGTGTGTGTACTGTGTATATTTATTATGTATATATAAATACACACACATTCATGTACATATTTAAGAAAAATATGTTGTTTATATTTTATATATAAATATATATTGCATGTGTGTGTTATATATATATATATATTAAATGTACACGCATTATATAAACGAAAACTTTTATTTTGGATGCGATTAATCGTTTGACAGCACTAATATACACCGTGTTTTGTGTTGCCCGTCGGAAACGCACCTTCCCCCAGTCTCTCTGACTGGACGAGCTCGCCGACGCCATCTTGGCCTTCTTCTTGCTTTCCTTCAGCTTCTCTCCGGCCAGAACCACCTCACTGGCGTCATTACGGCATTCAGGACAATACCTGCGAAAAAGACATTTAGAGTGGAAACGACAATTGTTTTACTTGATTTGCGCAGACAATTTACGCAAAGGTTTTACGAGTAATTAATACAAATTGTTTATGTTTCACTAAAATGAAATGTTTCACTAAACTCATAATGTAGTTTAATAAACATTTTACATATTTGTTCCTGCCAAAGGTTGTTGGTTCAAATCCCATGAACAAAACTGTATGATACTGAAACTTAAACTTTTTTCTTCAAAATACAATTAAAGTATTTAGGTTCGTAGATCAATTTAAGCGACAAATTCCGTGAGAACAAAAACAGCTAAAGCTAACAAGTTTATTTGATGTTGTCAGAAGGTTGTTGGTTCAAATCCCTCAAGAATCAATTTTGTTGTTGCTTTGGATGAACGTTTTAAATGAAGAGTAATTAGTGACGAGAACAAATTTAGCAGTCTTTGTCGCAAGAATGGTTTTACGAACAGCTGCCGAGCGATTTACACAAATTCAATAATTTACAAATTATATTAGAGATTGTTACAATAAGCTTTGTAGTCGTTTTAAATCTTTAATATTTAAATAGTATAAATAAAATTGTATGAAAAATTAACTATGACTAACTTTTTTCACTATACAATTGAAATATGTGTTCGTAGATCAATTTAAGAGAAACTTCATGAGCACAAAACAGATCTAAAGCTAACAAGTTTTGACGTCGCCAAAAGGTTGTTGGTTCAGATTCCTCAAGTGTTTATTTATTGTTGCTTTGGAGGAACATATTAGATAAATGATAAGTAATTAGTGACGGAGAACTCCTTTACTAGACCTCGTTGCGAGAACGAATGGTTTTACAAACACTGTACAATTGATTTTAGAGCTTAGCGTAACAAAAAATATATGTAATTAAGATCTTTATTTTTAAACATTGTAAACAAAGCTTCACATTCAAAGTGGACTAGAGTGAACTTTCATCATTATACAATTGAAATACTTAAGTTTGTAGCTAAATTTAAGAGAAATATTGTGAACGAAAAAAAAAAAGCTAAAAGCTAAGTTTTTTTTTTATGTCACTAGAAGGTTGTTGGTTCAAATTTGTTGCTACTTTGGAGGAACACTTCAGATAAATGATGAGTAATTAGTGGCGAAAACCTTGTTTACCAGTCCTAGTCACAAAAATGGTTTTACAATCACCAGTGATTTACACATTCAACAACTTGCAAATGATATTGGAGTTTAGTGTAACAAATCTGTGTGACTGTTTTAAACATCTTAAACTGTATGATCAATGTTCGACAACTACGAAGTGTTTCTTCATTACACTATTGAAATTTTCAAGTAGGTAAATAAACTTAAAGGGTTAGGCCATGTCCACACGTATTTTTTATAAACAGTTTTTCCTTCTTCCGTTTTAAAAAAAATCTCCGTCCACATAAAAAACGTAAAAGCATGCTATGACGCAGTGTCAAGAGCATGCCAAATTTTGCGCAGCTCGTCAGTGAACAACGGCTCTGTGTAGTTAATGCTGTTCAATGTGAAAGCACGCACGTGATGGAGATTTACCGCTGATTACAGAACCGGCTTTCTGACAAGATGCGCGTTAAATATCGCATGCGATTTATCGTGCAGCCCTAGTTCAAATCCCTCAAGAGTTGATTTATTGTTGCTATGGATGGAAGTATCAGATAAACTCGTTTACCAGTCCTCGTCCTCAGGGATGGTGGTGAGCGGCGGGTTCAGGCAGTATGTGTGAAACGCCATGTCGCATTCGTCGCACAGCAGCTGTTTGTCGGGATCCTGCTTCACGCCGCAAGCGTGACAGTTGCACATGCGGCAGTTCTTCTTCGGGTCGTCTTTGCAGACCTTGCACTCAGGTCCGTTCGACCCTGAATCGACAGAAACGAGGAAACTTATAGTTTGCGCTTAACATATTGAGAAAGAATACCGCAAAACCGAAATGTAGGTTCGATACGATACTAAGAAGTCAGACTCACTCTTGAGAGGGCTGTCAGAAGAGGCTCCTGGACCCTCCGAACTTCCTGGCTCCTCGATCTTGTAGATTTCGGTTACAAACATGATCCGACAGTCGTTGAGAGAATCGCCAGCGTCTCTGTAGAAAGTGTGGAAAAACATTGTGAGCGAAACAAAGGAAATGACCAGCAGAACCAATGCAATTTTAAATATCTAATTTTCACACTGGTTTCACAAGGAATTAGATCTCATTTTTCCTGCTGAAGGTGACAACTTTCATAAGAAGGGGAAACTCCGGTTTCGCTGTCTACACGATAACACTGCAACCAGAGTTTTTGAAAATCTTCACCCTGGCAGCAGTTTTCACAAATGTTCGGTTTCAGTGACCTGGTGCTGCGCTTGCGTGTGGACGAACGGCCAAACCGCGTAGAAAAAGCTGCGGTTTTGAAAACCTGTGTTCGTGTGGACGGCCTTAGTTCACCCAAAAATGAAAATTCTGTCATTAATTACTCACCCTCATGTCGTTCCAAACTCGCAAGACCTCCGTTCATCTTCGGAACACAAATTTGACATTTTCCAAAAACAATATTTTTGATGAATTCCGAGAGCTCTCTGACCCTCCCATAGACAGCAAGCGTAATTACACGTTCAAGGCTCAGAAACGTTGCAAGGACATCGTTAAAATAATCCATGTGACGTCAGGAGTTCAACCATAATTTTACGAAGCTACGAGAAATTTTTTTTCTTCTTTTTTTCCCGCACAAAAAATAAACTTTATTCAACAATTCGCAATTTTAAATATCTAATTTTCACACTGGTTTCACAAGGAATTAGATCTCATTTTTCCTGCTGAAGGTGACAACTTTCATAAGAAGGGGCTTTACAAACATTTTACATATTCGTTCTTGCATAAAAATTATTTTACGAATACTTCGAGTGATTTACATATTTACAAATGATTGTAAAGCTTAAATGTAACAAATTTGTAATATACTTAAATATTATACAAACAAAACTTAAAATCAACATCTATTTTAATTCTATAGAATACTTACATTTGCAGATACATAATTTAAACAGACAAACCAACAGAAAGAAAATGGAATTCATGACGTCTGTAATGGAATTGACAATTTTAATAGGATTTGGCACCTGAATATGATAGTTTGCTTAAGAACGGTTTCATGAGCAATTAATGTGAAATTTGTTCTACGAACTGAATGCAACACATTGCGTAAAAAGTAGTTTGACATTTTACAAGTTCCTACATAAGAATTGTTTTACAAACACTTCAATTTACCAATGAATTTAACAGTTGTGTAAAATGCTATAATTGTATTAAATATTTTTAAATGTGATTTTAATTGTATAATAAAATGATAAAATTAAATTAAAACCACTAAGTTTGCAGATAACAAACTTGTGAGCAAACCAACAGAAAGAAAAAAAATGAAAGCAAGGCAATTTTCATGAGAAATTAATGCAAACTTGCTCTGAAAGCCTTGCGTAGAAAGTGGTTTGGTAAACATTCCCCTTTAAACAAATTTGATAATTTACAAAATGATTTTAAAGCCTAAACCATACTATATAATTGTTTAAAATCTTTTTAAACACATTTTAATTGTACATTAAAGCTTTATTATAAAGTTCATAATTAACTATGCCATTAAAATCCTTAAGTTCATAAATAATTCAAAATGAGAAATTCGTATTAGACCAATAAAAGAAAAATGGTCAGCAAGTGGAATCGACAATTTTTAATCAGATTTGCTCATCGAACAAGACAATTTGTGTATTTGTTCTTGCGCAAGAACATTTTTTTCTACATTGTTTGGCTAAAAGCTTGGCTTAAGGAAGTGCAAAAAATATTTTGAAGAATGTAACCAAAGAGTTGACGGTAGCCTTTGACTTTTTATAGTATTTTTTTTTCCATATTATGGAAGTCAATGGCTACCGTCAACAGTTGGGTTACCAACATTCTTCAAAATATCTTATTTGTGTTCAACAGAAGGACGAAACTCATTTGGAACAAGTGAAAGGATGGGTAAATGAGAGAATATAAATTTTTTTGGGTGAACTATTCTGTCATTAATTACTTACCCTCATGTCGTTCCGAACCCGTAAGACCTTCGTTCATCTTCGGAACACAAATTAAGATAGTTTTAATTCATTCTGAGAGCTCTCTGACCCTCCCATAGACAGCAAGCATACTTACACGATCAAGGCTCAAAAACGTAGTAAGGACATCGTTAAAATAATCCATCAGGGGTTCAACCGTAACTTTACAAAGCTACGAGAATATTTTTTGTGCGCAAAGAAAACTAAAATAACGACTTGATTCAACAATGTCTCCTCCGTGTCACCCTGGCGTCATTTTGGAGAATATCCACTAAACGCAAACAGCGAATGTTGTTTTGTGTCAGCAGCACCATACGCGGATATGCGGTTTACGCTTTGATCTGAACGTATCCGCGTATATACGTATGTGATATTCTCCAAAATGGTGCTATAGGGTGACGCAGGAGACGAATTGTTGAATCAAGTCGCTATTTTCGTTTTCTTTGCACACAAAAAATATTCTCGTAGCTTCATAAAGATACGGTTCAACCCCTGATGTCACATGGATTATTTTAACGATGTCCTTGCTACGTTTCTGAGCCTTGATCGTGTAAGTACGCTTGCTGTCTATGGGAGGGTCAGAGAGCTCTCAGAATGCATCAAATATCTTAATTTGTGTTCCGAAGATGAACGGAGGTCTTAAGCCCCGTTCACACCAAGAACGATAACTATAAAGATAAAGATATTAGCGTCCACACCAGCGAACGATATCATCTGTTTATTCTAAGCGCACGCTCGTCTGCCGCTTTAAATTCTTGAGCTCCTTATAGCAGGATGGATTCTGATTGGCTGTCAATGTTTGTATTGTTCATCAGCTGGAAAAAAATCATTCTGATAGTGATTCCAATGATATCGTTTCTCTGTGCCTTCATCGTCATAGCTGTGGTGTGGACTCTGCTATTCTTTAATATTGAGAACGATTTTTAGAACTATATCTTTATCGTCCTTTGTGTGAATGGGCCTTGGTTTGGAACGACATGAGGGTTAGTAATTAACGACAGAATTTTCATTTCTGTGTGAACTATCCCTTTAAAGACTAAAACATCGTCCTACCCGAGCAGGATCTTGCCGTAAACCTCGCGCTGGGTGCGTGTTTCTCTCTTCCTCTGGATCTCGGCGTCGTACCAGTAGCCGCGCTCCTTGGGCTCGTCCGGGTTGAAGTTCACCATCACGATCATGCCCTGCTCCAGCTGGTGCCACTGGTAGACGGTGCGCGCCCGCGGTCGGACGTCTTTCCCACACAGCTGCACCACGCCGTTCTCAGGGTAACTGCACAGAGCACACACTCGCAACATTAGCATTCAACAGCGCGGGATGTTTAAACAGACTGCCTTTGATAAACGGTTTAAGACACAGATGAAAGGAAAGACTGAAACTGGGAGATGTTAACTCGCGATGAATCCAGGTGTTCATCCAGGTGTTCAACATTATCATTAACAGAGATAATGTTGAATGTGTTATTCACCTTACAGTTTTACTCAAAGTCTGTCTTCCAAGTCAATTCAGCCTTATAATTGGGTCATAAGAACATCTGACTGAAAATGACTTGCGATTCAGAAAGTGAATCAGTTGTTGACTTTGATTCAAAATGATAATTCATGAATCTTTTGAATTGTTCATGACTCATTGAATGTTTTAAGATTTGGATGTCAAATTGTATTCGTTGTTGAGCACACATGAAAACGAAGGCACGAGGATTAATACGGAGTATCGTTAAAGCTGCAGTCCATAAGTTTTGCCTCTTTGTCGCCATCTCTGTTTGAAAACCTGGAATTGCAGCTGTGTGCTGAATTATCTAGCTTGCGTGGGTTGTGCTCTGGCGCAGCTCCAGTGCGGATTAATCTAATGTTCTGAAGAGTATGTGTGGCAGTCAGTCACCGCACCGGTGTGGATATTTACTGTACTTCGCAATCACAGATTCTAGTCTACGTCTTGGAATATATGACCCAAATAAGAATTTTCACCGTATATTGCCATCTGAATAAGTAATAAGTCTGCCAT